ATATAATATATTTAATATAATATATATATATATATATATATATATATATATTTAATATAATATATATATGTGTATATGTATATTGTTATCATCGAGGATGCTAATGTGTGCATTGAAATATATTTCGTGGATTAAAAATAAATAGAATCAGTCTGGGATAGAAAATTTTGAATATTGCAGCTAATCTTGGAAGATGACCTGAATGAAGGAGGTACTAATATCTGTGTTAAAGACAGCTAAACCCTCGGTATCTGTTTCAGAACGTAAGATAACCCTTGTCGTAAATCCCTTCAGAATATCATAAAAATAAATCTTCACCTATTTTAAAGTTCAAAAGGAACCGTACCACATTTCTAGATTCTACAGGAGAAAGAAGAGGTACATATATCCGACCAATAGAATGAAAAAAGGAAAAATGTATTAAATTATTTTTGGATGGAAACAAGGATAGGCGAGTGGTTGAGAGAAAGAGGCCCAGTGGAGAGGTCAGTTCAGTGCACTTCAGAGGACTTGGAAGAAATGAGAAGACACAGGAAATAGTCAAATAGATAGATCGAGATGAAAGCTAGAAAACTTACTCATGTAAATCTGAATTAATAATCTATAAAATAATCGAGTGATTAGCCTACATATAGAGTAATAAGCATCTTCAATGCAATATTCTAAATGTATTTAAATCGTAAGTAAAGTAGACCTTTTATAAATTAGAATTTGATTTGTATACTTTTTTTCCTGAATGCCACCATTTAGATATAATAAGTAAATTGGTAACCGGTAATCTGATATGAATCAGACATCTTGAACACATTGAAAGTATTTGCCTAAGGTATAATCAGAGTGACAAGAAGATCCAAATGGGTTGGAGTTTAGGTAGGTCGAAGTATTCGTAATAGTGAAAAAGCTTAATGCGCCTCATTCGAATTTAGTGAATCAAACGTACTCCATCAAGCCACACCCATAAATAACATATAACGGTATCCTTCAAGGTCCTGGAACAGTGAAGAGGAAGAGGGAAATGGCCAGCTCTCAACGGCCCCAAAGGTCTTCAAGTTCTAGGATCAGGCTGGCACGGTTGGCAACCTTGACAGGTTCGAGGTAGTACTCCTGCTAATATTTCGGATGGCTCTCATAATTCTCAACATGTCTCACTTTAGTATGCCTTCATTTACCAATATGATAACGCATTAAATTATTAAATCTAAGAAACATAATTTTTTCTTTAGGTATTTCTTTTTGGGTCTAAATATAGGATGGACCTCTACTGTTGAGCTTTCATCCCGGTACTTATGAAGCACCACCACACCCAATATATTTCTATCAAACTATTACTTTTTTTTTTTAATTTTTATAATGAGCAGGGTTCCACGATATAGATGATGTCAAATATTTCCAAACATTCATTTCATCTGTACAAACAAGCACTCATAAAAACTGACATTTAAATATGACACATAAGACCAACCGTACCCCAAACTTATTTGGCCCGCGTGTCAAAAGTCCTGCGGAACACATAAAGACTTTTACTTCCGAAAAAAATAACTAAGTCCCGAAACAAAGTTTGTTCTACGAATGACACAACTGTTTTAAAATGAGCTTTCTAAGAGAAAAACCTCTTCCAATAAAAGTTATAGTTACCTCATTTTTGAGTAATTTACAAATTTAATATTTCACGAACAATTTTTAAAATTTTTATCATGGAATCCAAGAAACTTTGGGGGGTCGTACTTTGGAGACCGCTGCATAAGACAAAAGTCGAAAATAAACAATGGGTAAAATTCAGTTGTACCAGTCCTCATATGTTGTTAACAAATGTATAATAATCACAATTAGAAGATTGTCGACAGAAAAATCATATGTTAGTTAAATAAAACAAATGAAAGCAAGTTAGTCTTAACTTCGGTTAAAGGCAATAAGTGTTTCCGTGGACCATTTGATTATTTTATGGGAAGAAATACATATTTCTTTCAAGTATGTAATAATCACTACTATAATTTGTTTAATTCTTAGGATAGAATTGAAACAAAATTTTGTAAGAAAATGTATTTCATTTCGTAATTTTACGGCTTAATAATATTTGTTAGAAACTTTATTTAATTCCTAAGCAAGGATGTCGTTTCACATTTACTAATAATACAAAATCGCTAAAGATACACGACAAATCCTGAAAAAAACTTATGAAATAAATAGTATTCCAGATTTTTAACTATTAGAGGTTTTTGAAATAGTTCGATAGGTATTTTAAGATGAAGGAAAAGATAGACGATTTTTTAAATACATAAATTATCATAAAACAGAAGACCATGTTAATAGTCAAATAATACTAGCACAAAAGATTAACTTTCTCTTACTAAATAATTATAGTGAATATAAATTAGTAACTATCAATAGGCCAATGATAAACTAAACTAGCGGAAAAGATAGGACGTACGGATTTAACTGGAATTTGAAATATAAAATCCAGTAATAAGTTCTCATACTAAATACCAATAACCTGAACCATAAGTAGAAAACTATTTCTCGACTATATCTATGCCGATTAAATCAGCTTTAGCGTGAAACAATGTAAATATTATTAAAATATTGTTTCTTGCTAATTTTGATTTATTTATTTATTTATGGAAATATATAATTTCATTATACATTGACCATTGGGTTTCAACAACTATAGAGAGAGGTACGCTAATGTATTTTTTCTCTAAGGGTTGCTTCTGGAAGAGGGTAAGTGATGATTTGGGGAGGCTTAAATTTAAACTCCACTGCGGGATTGGTTTCTCTGGTTCGCGGCACTTCCACGGCTTAGGGATACAAAAAATAGATCCCAGAACCGTATGTAATATCTTTTGCCAGAAATATATATATATTTTTTTTTAAATAAAAAAAAATTGAGAAATAATACATTTTGCCACATTTAAGGGAACTGAGTACTAAAGCTGAGCGAGGCCCATGAAATATATTGGATGAATTCATTTCAATAAATGACAATGCCGAACCCTATTCAGCTTGTTGCAAAATTACCTCCAACAAGAAGAGACCGAGATTATGGCTTAGACACACTGAAGTCTGGACATGAACCCAATAGGACAATAGATCTCAAAATTTGGCCGATTTATGAAGAATTTTAGTGAAGGAGTGAAACAACGTCGCAAAAGAAGGAGGAACTTGGTCGGTGGAATGAACCGGAGAATGCTAGGCAGCGATCATGGTAAGAGGGGGAAACTCTTCCTACTAATTTTATTCAATACTCTGTATTTTTTTTGTCAAATAAAAATTAAAAAAAAAATGAATTTTTTCATTCTTTCTTAATTTTTTTTTTAATAAACTAATAACGATAAAAGTAACAAACTATTTTATCATACTCAAAAAGAATCCTTCTTAAAACGTCCATTAAAATTATAAAATTGAAGTGATCCTTTAATTTTGCTTGGCAGTGTATGTTTATATTGGTGAATACTTTGTAAATAATACAAAGCTTCAAGGTAGAATTAGTAGCGGTTGAGTTGGCCCTCGGGATGCGAACTAATCGCGTTGGAACTTAATTAACACTATTAGTTACCTGCTTGTTATTATTAAATACATATCTTAACCAATTTGTATCTAGATAACTGAGAAAAAAAGATTAAATGAATTGTAGAACATGTTGCTGAGAGGTTATGTCTACTATTTTGTTATCAACAACCACCAAGTATGCGTTTCAATCAATCGAACGATTTCATATACAATACACGAGTAAATAAAAATGACCACAAGTATATTTATACAACATATTTACAAATCAAATAGCAATCTTCAGATAACCAAAATGGTTTAAATGAAAAATTATATTTAAAATAGGAATATTTTACCATTACTTTATATAGTTAGTTTCAAACATTACAAAAAAAAAAAAGGTTCTATTCTTCAATGATTGATTAATCCCGACTCACGATGCCAAGATGTAACGCTAAATAAGGAATGCATTATTCTAGATTTACACAATCACATTTTAATCACGCTTTGAGATGATAAAAACCTTACCTTAAGAAAATCATTAATATTACTCTCTGATCTCTTGATATGTTTAAGCAAATTTGTTGTTCCTCCTTCCAAAGATATAATTTTCTGGAAAAACGTAAATTGTATACTCTTAGTAGGAGAATGGGAGGAATGGAAAAAGAAATACAGCCAGGTTTAGACCAATGTTTTTCATAAAAAAAAGGTAACTATTTACCAACGGATTCCAAACATTTAATGTGCGGTTCAAAGTAGAAATGATTCCTCGTCGACGGGTACAAAACACCATGCTATCTCCTTCAATCATACCTATCGAGAAACTATACACGATACGTTATAAGATACATTACAGTTACATGGGGCACTTCTTAGAAGACACCATACTTGGTGATGCATAATTGTGAACTGGAAAAATTCCTAGAATATCATGTCACCAGCTGGTAGTTTAAATTCTGCCGCAAAATTTATAATGGCTGATGATCATCGAAGGTCAATACGAAACTCTTAAAATAAAAAGAAAAAAGCCACAGCTCAGGAAATCATGTATCAAGTAACTAAAGAAAATGTTACTATCGTTCTAGAACTAACAGTTATATGATCAAATTTTGGAAATATTATATTTAAAGATTATTTCCTATAACTGAAAAACAATTAGAACATATTAGATTCTCATCTTTTCTAGTAACGTAAAAATATCCGGTAAACTCGATTAATATCCGGTTGTAATGTAAGGTTATGACAAATAAAACAATCTCATTTTAGGAATAGATCATACTAAGAGTATTTGTTAGGTTAGAATAACAGAGAAAAGTGCCCTCACACTATACCTTTAGTATAATATAATATTTTAGTAGTAGAGAACCAATTACTGTTTCATGGTTGTAACCTATATTTTAAACAACAAAATGAAATAAGATAAATGTTTTCACGTCTGTGAATATAGAGACCAAAGCAAAGAATCATTCACCAGATATCAAATATTTCTAATTTATAAAACTAAAAGCGCTAAACTATCTTTGAAAAGTAGTAAATGTGATATTGGTGTACATTACCCTGGTCGGGATTTTGGTAGCTTGCGACCACAGTCGACCCTTGTAGGTTATATAGGTCTGGTAGATGATGTATCCAACAGTTAAACAGACGAACAGGATGTAAATGTAAATCCAAAGGGGGCAGTTGGCCAGGTAATCGTAGGTACAGGTACCCGCACTAACGAATTTGTCTTTGGTTCCTTTCAAAATATTCACCATTCCGGTGAAAGTAACCTCAAACGGTTTTAAAATTAAGTTGAAAACATATTGAAGCGCACTTAAAATCACGTTCAAAACATATTGGATCGCTCTTAAAATATTTTCCAGAGATCGCCGTATTCTAGATTTCAACTGGGACCATTTTGTATCAACTTCTGGTGTTATTCTGGGAGGTTCCACTGTAGGCTGTTTTGCAATATTCGGCACCAGCTTAACTTGGCCAGATTTGATATCGCTAGACGTAGCAGAACCTTTTGACTTTACTGAGTCTGTAGTCTTTTCTAAAAATATAGGTTTTTCTATACCAATAGACTTCTCAGAAATTGTAAACTTTTCTAAACCAGCAGACGTATCTGAAACTGTAGACTTTTCTGAACCTGCAGATTTTTTTGAAACTTTAGACTTTTCTGAGTCTGTTGACTTGACTGAACCACCTGACTTGGTCGTACTTACTGTTTTGGCAGAACCTACTGATTTGGCAGATATTATATCAGCTTCGGACTGTTTGGAATGGCTTTTTGATACTTTTCCTGTTGACTCTCCCACCGAGGCAGTTTCATCTTCAGGTATTTCATGTTCAGTACTATAGTAGTTACCGATGTAGGTAACCAACTTTTCCAGAGGAGGTTTGATGACATTGAGAAAAAAACTACATTTTGCAATGATACAGTTGAGGATGCTGCTGCCGAAGTCGACGGTGCTGAGGTAACTGGCAACTGAGCCCACAGGAACCGAACTTATGTAGTAGTTGACAACGCTGGCCCCTTCCCGAAGTTTGACAATGCCCCTGTAAACAATGCCAGGCCCCCTGTGCTGCGAACACTGCCTGATCGGTATCAGGTACGTTAAGTACTTAAATAAACCTCGTGAAGCGACCGGTGGGCACTCGCATGGGTTCGCCATCTCCTGGCAGCCGATTTCTCATGAGCCGAGGCTATCTTATTTCATGCTTGCTTTCCTTGATAATTTCGAAAAGTATTTGAATAACATATGTCAAGTCGTGACAGTTCACAGCTGAGATGGCTCATTGTTCTGTCTGTGGCTTCCACCTACTAGCCATGGATGGTTTCCAGTATTGACATTCAATGTTATTGATCTTTATAAGTTATCTTAAACTAACACGACGAGTGATCCAAGTACCAAATCGCGTTCTGGCCGGTAAAACTTACAAATGTCACAGGCCACACATCTTTGCTACTGTGCTCAATAGCAACATGGGTCAATTCAATGAAAACATTTCAACGCAAGCCGGTCTAGATTACTCGAATCGGATTATGGTTAAAGCCTATTTAATACATTTAATTGAATGGTTGAACATTTGATCGCATAAATAAAAAAAATACTGCATATAACCTGAATTGTATGCAATGCTTTGAACTTGTAAAGAGTTTTTTAAAAGATATCAAGTACTAAATGAAAAATACTATAGGTGTACGATTTAAAAAACAACAGGCATCTAAATCAACAAGACATATCTTCATTTTTTACATCATATAATACTTCATAAATTTTAATATTTATTATGCTCTTTAAACTCTATTATACATTAAAATATAAAATAGAGTTTCATATAAAAGAGCAGACAGGGTTCCTTTCCTAAGTATGGATATATTTCATTGTATGGACTTAATGGTTTACACGATCAGATCTGGTCACTAACAGAAGAAAAACACAAAAACATAGCAAATAAACAGCCGTACCCGCTCGATAAGTTGGAAGGCCTCTTCATTGTAGACCATAACTGCTACAAATGTCTTAATTATTGCGTTCTAAACACTTGAACAATCGCCAAAACTCTATACTCTAGCGGTGTGTTTGCTAAAGTTAGCACAACTGACGCCAATTTTCTCGAAATAGAGAAAGGTCGAAGAAAAACAGGAGGGAAATATGCCGTATAATATGTCAGTTCTATTATTTATAGCAACGGAGGTGGACTTGAACGCCAGGGTTTCCGAAGCCTTAAAAGGAAATTGTAAAATCTATTAAATAAACTACCTTAATTGTTTAAATTTAGAAAATCTAGACGAGAATAGTAACTGTAATATATTTAATAATTTATTTAACAGGATATAAATTCACAACATTTTTTTCTCTGCCCTCTTCCTAGCCATTTAGGCACTTTACGGTTATTTTTTCGGTTCAGAGGAAAGTCCCACCGCCACCGAGACTTCCTATAAATTCATAAATATTTAAAATACAAGATAAGAGATACTGTTATCTCTATAAATATTTGTCTATCCTTTTTTCCTGTTGGCATTACTGACCTACGCCTTAAGCTGAGGACTCAGTCATCCGATATGCTGAATGGAGCTCCATTCTATATTTTCAAACGTTAGAATCCTCATTTAATTAATCGACTTTCAAAACAAGTTTTAATCCTGAAGAGAGAGAACATAAATGTCAAGCAATGCTTGCTATGTTCATAGCACAGCTTTAGTGGTTCATTTGCAACTGTCGAGAGACTCACACGGTCCGGTTGCTGGTCACTCATCAGAGCGTTGCTTAAGATTGCTATTTTGACCTCCAGTTTCTTGTCACAGTTACTTTATTCAGTAGAAATAAATCTTTTAACTCACCTGGTAAATCTTTATTATTAAGATTTTTTTCTGTAGCCTGAAATGATTGTCGTCATTTGACATAGCAATATCTATTATCTCAGCTGTTTTCACATTATCATTAATCAGCGCGATGTCAGGTCTATTAAAATTGATTATACAGTAAAATTGAATCCTTACCTTTTGGATGAGGTCTTTGAGAATGAATTTACAACAGGATATCAAGTAGCGTATTGAAATTAATTCTATTTTCAGACTTCAATCACTCAATTGTAGACTTCACCTACATTATCGGCTCTTTTTAATTATTCTGAGCCAGTCACCGCACATCATCCTCCAGTTATGTGTTGAATATCTTAGTATATTCTGGCACACAATAGACTTAAATATATTCAGTCGCTTTATACATTCGCCAGTAAAACCTAGTTGAACCGATCCTGGATTGCTGTAAGAAAGCCTGTCACGAAAATATTTTCGACGTCAATCCTTTCACACGGTATTTTTCGGGAAAATGATTTATTTTTCGCTCTCGGCACGCATCTTCATTTTTTTTTTTTTTTTTTTTAGCTTCTTCCTCTTCTTCCATCTATGGTAGCCTTCCACATAGAATGCAGTCGGAAGATGCATCCAGGAGCTAGAGAAACTACTTTATGTTAGTTTATCAGATTCTTGTATATTGTAGAGAATTTTAATTCCGAAGCAGTGAGATATTTCTTGTATAATTTATGTATTTATAGATGTTATTGTTGCTCCTAAAAATTTTAAGGATAATTCTTAATATCTTTTTCAATGACTAATTCAGTTAATTTTTAAATTTATACACTACATTATAATATAATTTCAGTAAGTTTATACTATTCCAACGAAATAAAAGAGCATATGCCGTTCTCTCTTCAACCAGTTTTACATGAAATAAATAAATAATACTAATCTGAAAGACATAAATGTCTTGATTTTATCAATGGCTAAAAGTTGGCTTGTTATTGAAAGAAAGTCGGACGATGTAGTGAACCATTTTATTTAATTTATGGGGAGTTGTCACATAGTATTAATTAGCAGGCTATTGTTCAGCTATAAGCCTAATAATGACAACAAACAAGTTTTGGTTACATAAATAAAAGAGAAAATTTACTTTTCTGAAGAAAGCAAACATATTTTAAGATAGTTTATTACTTTAAGTCCAGAGTATATAACAATCTGTTTATTGTGTATTTTTATTAATTCCCTTTCTGATTATGATGTTATGATAGTTATATATCATTGTACTATTCCCATTAATTCGTGAAAAAAAAAATGTAAATGTGTTTGCTACCAGACTTATGACGCATGGGAAATTCCTAAGATTGGCAATGGTTGAATGACGTGCCTGTCCACCACAATTGGGACTATTCGTTAAATACCTCGTGTCATAGGAAACGTTAATTGTAATATACATAGAGTGAATGTGTTCATATCTCACTATAATTATTGTCCATGTGGACAGATTATCATAAATTCTTAATAAATAAATATAATAAAAAAAATGTAATATATATATATATATACACAGGCACACACATACATATTATGAAGTAGTATACAATATACGCTTAATGTAAACGCATAACTTTTAATGACTTTATTTAAGCAGTGGTATAAGGACAAATGGATGGTTATTATTATTTTAAGGCTGAGAAATTTTTTTCTTATATCATAATAGGAAAGATATTATATATATATATATATATATATATATATATATATATATATATATATATATATATATATATATATATATATATATATATGTATACATAAATATAAAAGAAATTATAAAAAGCAACTGGTCCACTCTTTTAATTTATGTTAAACCCAATTAATAATTGTTGAAAAATAATGGCTTAAAATACATATCCTTTAGTTTTACATCGATTAAAGTAAAATGATTGTAGAAAAACAAATGAACCTCTTAATTAACAGGCGTTTCATCCTAGGGATCGACCAAAACGTAGATGGAGAAAAACTTAGGTCGACGTTGAATATAATATTTCTTGTAGCTGTTTCTATTAACGGAAGTTCCTCAAACATCTTTATTTATGATTGAATGAATAATTTAACAATACATACAACTAAATCATTTCCTTAAAATGTAATAGACCTTAGTTGATAGTTTAATATTATTCTTAATTTTAATCCATCCAGCTATAAAAGATGTTTTCTTTTCCTTAAAAAGATGGCGAAGTCTTAGTTTACGATTATGAAAGCATTTGGTTGAACAACCAGAGAGAACTGGTGAATGGACCATTAGAAACTGGATGTCAACAAGACGTCAAATTAGAGAAACTATTGAAAATTGGACCATTCAATCATTTATAAAATGGAGTAGTAAAATATTAATCACTTGAAATTCCTTATCTCTTTTGCCAATTCAAATAAAATAATTCCGAAGCCGTTGAATGAATCAAGTTATTTAATCATATACCCTACATATTTTATTAATTAAAGCAGGAACGCTATTGCCTTTAGAACGCAATGAACATCGGGTGATGGCAGCAGAATAAGCTGATTAAAGTTAATTAGAAAACGTTGATGCTATTAATAAATCAACAATTGGGGACAGGAAAAAAACCCAGCAAAATATGGACATATAATGATTACTTTTTTACAATGATATAGATATCTGTTAAAATATTTACGACAGACATATATAATTAAGAGTATAACAAACCCAATATGTTTTTTGAGATTTCTTTACGCCAATATGTTACTGAAGCCGCTTTATTCTATACATAAAAAGTATTACTATCTTTATGGTGGCTTTAGAATGAGAATATCACATGTTACAAGCACCAATGTTTTTTAATGACAGCTGTCATTCTATCTATTTTATTCATATAAAGATTTGTTTACGGCAGGCTTGCCAAGAGTGTAAATAGTATTCGAAAACAAGCCTCCTCTGACGTAAGGATAAATATAGAATGTTTAAAATTTTCTACAATCCAAGGTATTTTATTTTTTCAAATATTAGCACACACACAAATTATTCTAACGATTACGAAGTTGTTTATAGTAATTCATGTTTAATTTTAATTGCATTTTATTATTGGTAAGCGATATAATTTAAATTAGAGAGTTAAGAAGGATTTAATTATAGATAAGAAGAACATATTTTAAAAATATGCAAACGAAATAAAAAGTTAACGTGATTTACCTTCAAACAGCAGTAAATTATCATAAAATAATACGAAAATTATTTTTAAAAACACAAAACGTTCACTTACCGCTCTACTTTGTATAGAAATTATTATCTGACAATGTTGGGATATTATAAAATTGTTGAAGTACATTTTAAAGGAAGCTAAAGTTTAAGGCTTATACATAACAAATTATTAAGACCATTGAAATTACAAAAACTCTGTTTATTATATCGACGGTAGACAATAAAAATCTAGTTACTCCATCTGCTTTTATAAACCACATAACTTCAGTCTCTGATCTATGTGTGCCTTTCAGTTGATAGAATGACTAACTCCAATTTCAACATTTTTGAGTAATGTCATTTTAGAATTATTTCTAGTTGAAAAAGTTATATCTGTACAGACAGTGAATAAGTAGATTCCAGAGTAGGAGATTGTAGTATTGAAATATAGAACTGTGAATACAGATGTAAATTTTCTCAGAATACAGAAAAAACATTACTACAATTAATAATGAATAATATTAAAACTGGAGTTAGTCATTCTGTCAACTGAAAGGCTCATATATGCCTAGAGAGATTTGAAAGTAGATCTGAATACTTAACATATAAATGATTATGAATTGTACAGCTATTAGTTAGTAAACTGTTATTTTCCATTGTAAAGTTTACTAAAATGAAATTACGTGATTTTCATTGCCTGTCATGGATAAGTCACAGTAATTGTAAGTGGATAATGTTGGGATTTCACGAAGGGAAAATTCATCAAATTATTCACTAATTAAATTTTCTAAAAGGTTAATTGATGATTTTTCGGTATAAACGGCCGATAGATACCTAACTATTTATATATAATATCTAGAGTTATTAAACTACAGTAAATGGATTTAAGGTTATAAACATATCCATGAAATATTTTAATATTTCACTTTCTTTTTTCACACATGTACAATGAAATAGTATTTTAAACAAATACAAGGGCAATTTAGTATTGCCTTGATTCGATGGATTTTAAATAATTTTCTTTTCAAACTTAGAAAATAATTTATTTAGTAAGAAAATTTCATTTAATTTCCTTGGAAACTCTCCGTTACCTTCTAAAACTTTATTAATTTGATATTATTTTTCTTAAATTCTTTGCTTTCCAACGATATATTATACGTATACCTTCTGACTGTTATTTCCGGAGATTCATGTTCAAACTGGATAAGCATTTTTATTTTTTTATAGTTACTGTTAGTAAAAGATAATCAATTGTTTTAAATAAACCATCTTAAAGGTGCTTAAGAGGAAGACATGTATGAACATAGGCCATCTAAGCTCTGTAAAGTGACATGAATGGGGAGGGGATAAGACATACATGATATTAAAGACCACTTAATTATGCAATGATAGAAGTGCAAAATGTACAGAGAGAAAATTCAATGAAAAGTTCTTAGTGATATGTATTCATATATGAATCTAAGAATATTCAAGCTTAGAAACTTAAGCGATAAGCAGACGAATTAGAGAACGTTACGTATATTATTCAAGTTTTTATTTACTATATCTTCTGACATCATCGTTCGCAATTCTAATCGATTTACATGCCAATAATATGGACGATTAGATGCACCGCTGACCCAGATTCCGAATTGGAGGACGTGACGAGAGTCAGGCGGGGAGACGGATCGATCGGCTCCAGAGGCTGGATGCTCTGTTTGTAAACACTCTTAGACAAGAACTGCGATTCCTCCAGGAAGATGTCGGTGTAATGGAAGTCTTGCCAGACATATTGCCAACTGTTTTTGTGTTGGCTCAATGTAATGGAATAAGCCTAATTGTATGGAAGAAATATAAATTTTACCGTTGGCGGAAATGACACAGGTAGGTCGATCAATAGGGATTCTTATCATAAGGTATCCTGCAAAATGAGGAAGAAGATATTTCGCAATATTAGAATGGTAATACTCAATTGAATCTTCTTGAAATCGCCATCAAGTAAATTGAAATTAGAAAAATAAATGAAGAATACTTAAAAAGAAAACTTTGGAATGCTTATAGACTGCCATATCAATTTACTTATACTTACTCATTACTGCGTATTTGTAAATAACATATTCATATCATTCAAGTTATTGATATAAAACAAACATATCTATCTCTCAGAGATCGTTATTAGTATTAATATCGAAATGTTATTCAAGTCATCATGAATAAGATATAACTAGTAACTAATAACATAACAAATAACAGATAAAATGGACAATCATTTTTCGAAGTTATAAACAAGCTTTAGTATTCTAAGTGAGCGTGACGATAAAATAATTTATGGCTTGAAAAAACAATAACCAATAAATGAAAACAAAATTTAAAATATAATAATAATAATAATTAGAAATTAAATTGATAAATAATTTCGATAATATTTTTATTAATTGCACAATTTTGAGGGTCAGTTCACAATTCATGAGAAACTAGGCAGTCTGTGACTATCTATTTATATTTACCATGATAACAATACGCATTACGTAGATAGCAAACTGATTCATTAAATAGATACTAATTAGGTAAATAAGAAGTATTAAAGAGGTTTGAAGTTTAAAAAATCAATTTTACAAGTTCACCCGGAAGTAGCAAAAATTAATAAATATAAACTGAATAAAATTCCTAACATGATTAATAATTGGCAATTTACTACCACAAAAAACAAATGGAGACCTTCCTTCAAATAAAATTATGATTTTTAAAGTACTTAAATCTATTTTATAAATTCGTAAAAAAAACTTTTAAAACACGATGATCAAAAGCTTTATAGTTGTTAAACTTAGGAGAGATAACAATCTTGTTTATTAGCTAATAGAAAATATATCAATTTATTTTACAAGAATATGCATATTGTAATTGAAAGTATGTTATACCTGTTCTCTACGTTACTTTGTATAGGGGTATATGTAATTTTAAACCTTATTTTCATTTTTCCGTAGATCGTAGAATCAAAATCCAATACGCTTGGGAATAAACGAAATAATACATAAATGCATTATTAAATAAATGAAAATTTGATAAATTGAAGTTGAAATTCGAAATAGCTTTGTTTGATAAACCTAGTTTTTAGTAAAATTGACATTTACTCAAATAAAATGGATTTGTTTTTCAAAATAAACACATATAATCCGGATACGAAAATGCAAATCAATACTAAAACAAAATACACGAAGTAACTTACTGTTCTCAAAACTTATCAAACAGATTTAGGTAAATAAAGGACAAGATGTATGATAATGACTATCTTATCAATGTAAAATGAATGGAGAAATCAGTTGCTAAAAATACGAAACACTGACATATGAAGATTTGTCAGATGAGTATTTTTAAATGGAAGAGATCTGAAATGACAGATGAAAATTCGTGGCAGTCTACAGTGCAGACAGGCTTATCAGTTAAGGTTATAGGTAGGTTTCATTCCACTAAAGCAATGAGATGGAACCCAGTTGATCTTTTCAATTAACTCATGCATTTATACAGAATGTCATTCCAGACCGCACCATGTGTATACATTTAAATAAAGTGCTAAGCTAATATAAATTGAGGTCAAACTATTTTGACTTACTTTAGGTAGAACGCGATCGTGTTGATCACAGCTGTCGACGGTTCCATTTTCGGAAACTTCTAGCTCTGAGTAGCAGGCACAGAGCTTGCTGATGATGTCCGTCTTCGGCCTCATGTTGTTGATGAGTGGCTGTTACCGCTGGTCGTGAGCGACTGAGACCGCTGCTTGTAGCGTAGGAGACTGAATGGAAGGCCCGCCTGCCCCACCCACGGCCGAGCCCCGCTCTCGGCCAATCGGATCGTGCTACGTCACGGGGAGCAGTGTCGATAGCGGCCAAGGTTCCAACTCTCGCCTCCATTACCTACTCTGCGCTTAACTTCCTCTCAGACCTTGGATGGCTCATTAGCATTCCCGATTCATTCGTTCCAACTATCCATATTAACTATCATAATTATATATCTCAACTTATGCTTCTTCGTATAACTGTAATAGTTTTTTTGAAACAGTCATCTGATTGGCGGGCGGCTAGCTGATAAGATTGGTTTCGCAGAATGTTTTGCAATGTTGCGTCATTTTTCGAAATTATCAGTTTCTAAGCGGATGTACGTCATAGAAATTTAAAAAAAAAGTAAAAATTAAACCAAAGTTCAATTTTCGGTTATCATCTGGTTATTAGCATGAGATATATTATACAAGTTACAAGGTTTATGATACTGAGGTCGCTCTAACTTCATTTTTCTCATCTGTTTCTCCTATAAATACACAAATAATATATTTAATTTGACATTTTTATTCTGACCATATTTAATTAAAATGCCTGTAACCCAATAGTTAAGTGACCATGTTCCATCATCATTTCATCTTATATTTTTTTCTTTATTTGGTGGCGCTACAGACTATAAAGATCTTTGACCGTGAGATGTGGTCTCCTTACAGATGCATATTGCTTGCGAGAACAGAAACAGCCTGGAGGAGGTCGCCCAACCTCACGTTGCTACGAACCATGGTCTCCATGGTGAAGCGACAGGCCACTCGTAGCTCATAGCCGATCCCTTTGGGGCTAATCTGGCAGTGTCCTTCCCACCGACGCACTCGGGTTCAAGGACAGAGACAAATCGGTCTAGATCTATGGATTATGGCTGCTCAGAGTCTGCAGGCGAACGAGGACATATATGCTGGTATATATTAAGAGATATCAACTTTACTATCTCAAAAATGTTACAGATGTAAACAAATAGAAAAAAAATGGTTATGTACACACTGTTTACACGATTTGAGATGTTTTAAAGGGAGAAAAAAGATCTTTCAACACCACTTTGTGTTTATCAATAACGGATTTTTTTTTATAACTGTACTGACTCTGAAAGAAAAGTAGAACTATAAAATAAAATGATGTTTAAGTAATCCTCAAAGGACTTAAAAAAAGGTAATTACAGGAACAATAACGGTTTTATTGAAGGAAGTTAGTCGACTGTTTTACATATCATAGACGGTAAATAGTCAGGACGCAGTCATTTTAAAATTTTATTGTTGCCGACGTTTCAACTCAAACATGGATCATCATCATCCCTTTCCTAGCCTTTATACCATACGGGCTTTTTTCCGGGCTAGGGTAGAGGGCGAGGGATTAATGGCAGTGATAAAATTCCATTTCACCGGGATGCGAATTCGTATCTATCTAGTAATTTCACTGTTTCAATGTTTCCTTCAAATGTTTTAATTTTATTTCTAAGAATTATATTTTACAACATTGTAAACATTATTAAGTATACTTTCGAAACTCTCTTAATATATTTAAAATATTTCTTATTTATTTCTCTTTTTTGTCAGATCAAGGATTTCAATAGCTTAAAAACTTCAGATTAATAAATAGATCATTTTGCAAATAAACAGGTTTAACTCCGTACAGTGTGTTCCGCAAGGTAGCATTTTGGGTCTCGTCATTTATCTTCTCTTTGCCGCTGATATCCCTGTCCTACTCGATAACTTCCTGGCAACATTTACTGATGACACCGCCATCCTATCATCCAACTCAGATCTCGAAATAGCATCCTTAAATCTGTAAAGACATCTCTCCTAGATTGAGCACTGATGTAATAAATGGCGCATTAAAGTAAACGAATCCAAATGCAAACACAGTACACACGTGCTTTCAGCCTAACGTCCTTCGAACAATAGTTGATGCTGTGTTTAATCTAACCAACAAAAGCATACACCAAAACATCCTATTTGCCCTCCAAGAACCTTACGTATCATCCAAATTCCGTTGCAAAATTCCTATCTACCATCACTCATCCCTATAATCCTCCAAGAAGGTTAAAACAGCCTCTCTTGTAGTATGTATATAATGGGATTCTGGCAATGGCCAGACTCTCCTTTCAAGGCATGGGTGTATGTGGCTCGCTCAATCTCCACTGGTTAATAAAGCACCAGTGACGCGGTTGAGAGAGTATCACAGGGATCTCCTGAAGTCCTGCTTTACCCTCCATAGTTGGAGGGTGAAGCCTGGCTTGGAGTTCCCTCGCCTGATTGTAAATATTATATAATAAAAATATTATACAGAGAGTTTATATTTTTTATATATTTAAGTTATTTAATTTTTATTTATTGTATATAATTTTTTATTATTATTTAGTAGTTATTTTGCTTCTATTTATTTTATTTTTTCTGTATAAATAGTGTGAATGAGTTCTTATTTCGCTATAATTAATGTCCGTGTGACAGAGTGTTTCATTACTGAATAAATAAACAAACAAAGGAAAAAATCCGTTCAGTAGTTTTGGCGGTTATTATAAACGAAAAACGGAATGCTCTATTACATAGTAGTTAGTGTAAAATGATTTATGTTTTCTTACTTTTCATATATTACTTTTACCATAAAAAAGGTCGAGAAAAATTATTTTATGGATAGAGTGGATTAGTAAATAAATATATAATAATCAAATACTCTTCATATTCGTATATTCTTACCAGTTACGATTGAATTGAAATATAATTTTATATTATGAAAATAATTATTTTCTCTGAAAAATGTTGAAATTAAATTGATAAGTTCAGCAATTATCTGAAATTAATTGAAGATTTTTACAAGTATTTAACGTTTTGCAAACATTAAAAATGGCGATACATCTAACTTTACTAATGATTATGTGTTTATCTAAAATTGATTTCTCAACTCATTTCGAAACATCACGTCATTGCGACAACAATATTGCTCATAAGTATTTTGTAATCAACGTCTTAATATCAATATTTGTTAAAAAAAAATTTAAATCCCCTTTACTTGCGCGAAAATGCTTTTAATGTTGCGGTTAGAAGTGCGAAGAAAACATGGCAAGCAAGGTCATGTGACGCAGGTTTTCATTGTCATCCTTGCTTTAAGAAGCAGAAATTACAGCTTATGAATTAATTGGAACTAAAGGTGCTATTCTTTTCTTACTCATTACTGCGTATTTGTAAATTACATATTCATAATATACTTCAATTATTCAACTGTATTGTGACTAGTAATGTACTAAGAGATGAATGTTTAAAATATTCGCTACATTTATATTTCCAGTTTTGAATTCATGTTACAATTTTATTTATCGATATAAGATTTCCAGTTAATGTATGTTGCGAGTTCTGTGAGACATAATGACTAACCCTATTCTTGGATTCAATTTACTTTTCTCCAACTTTTCAATTAATTACAAAAGACTCATATACATGACCATAATAAGACCTATTTGGACTTACGAGGTTGAGCTTTGGGCTCCGCTAAACAATCGAATTCCTCTCGTATCCAACCAATCTTTACAATCCAAAATCCTTAATGCTCCTTACTTTGTAACAAATAAAAAATCCATAATCCATAATGACATGAATGTTCCATATGTTTTCGAATTGGCCCAAACTAGATACCTATCCTTCTATAATAATCTACAGAAGCATCCTAATTCTCTCGTTTCTAATCTTGCTAATCTCTGATAACTCTCCTACGCGTCTGAAAAGAAGATGGCCACTTGATCTCCTAATTTAGAAACTTTATTAGAGTGCTACCAGTGGGTAGATTCTCTACAAGTCTTGTCATGTCATATATTTATCCATATCACATTTGCTGAATGTATTTTAAATGTACAGTTGTAAATTTCATAAATAATAATAAAAAAAACTTTTAGTTTTATTTCCCTTTATTTTTATCTCTGGTCTGTTACAGTAATGTAATGTTTCAGTGTCATTTATATTTAAAAAAAAAAAAAATTAAAAAACCGAGTTCCGAGATGTCTTTGAGGGTTCTCCAAAAACGCAATAGCTACTTTCTTCTCAACGATGAAGTTAATAATTAGAGAGTTCTATGTTTTGTTGTTTATGGAACAAAATTGTTTTATAAGTCACCCAGAGTAAATAAAAGACATTCTGTCATTAAATGATTTTGGTAGATAAGAAAGAATCAGATTTTTTGTGCAATATTGGAAACAATGAACATTAACATTTAATTTATACTCCACATTGGCTGTATTTAAAATCCAGCTACTGAAGATCTGATAGAGATTCTAAAGGAATGGACTCAGATATACAGTAGGGCGAAGTGGGCATTTGCCGCCAGTTATCGCAGGTCTTGAGAAGTTGAAGTACAAAAAAAAAGTAGAAAAAAAACTATTTAAAAAAAATATATATGTGAATAATTTAACTTTTAAAAATAAATCCTGAAACCTATAGTATGAAGTAAAAAAAAAAAGACGTTAAGGGAAGACAGGAGCACGTTCACCACATGGGGCAGGTTGTTCCGAACGCAGGGGTGCCCATCCCCCACAAGGTGGATGGCGCAACAATATATCATCCCCTTCTCCCAAGGTATTTTATTGTTCTCCTTTTCTTAAAAACAGAGCAAGCTAAGGTAAAATTAAAAAAAAATCGTAGATCATATATAGTCTGTTCCATGGTTTCTCCTTGTCCTTTAGTCCAAAAATTCATAACCGCATAAAAATTTGGCGTCCTCAAAAATTCAAAAACCCGTCAAAGTATGCCTTCCTTCTGGACACCTCTGCCTGAACGAATTAATTCATACATTGGTTGCTTGAGAAAGCTGGGAATTATAGGAGACAGTCAGAAATATTTTGAAATTATTTCGAAGAACTATCAAAGGTGTCAAAGGGTAGTTGTAGGTGTAGGGTTGTCACAACCATCCCTCC